CTTCCATAGTTGGGTCATATTTAAAAAGAGTTGTATTCACATCACCACAATCAGTTCCAGTGCATCTGCCTCCCTCTGGTATTTATCATCTGCTCTCCAATTCCCCTTAACTTCCCCTGCCCCCACCCCCGGATCCCTCACAAATCATTACATCAATTATTGTCTCTATACCCTGCCCTTCTGTGTTTCATATACTGGGAAACATATCAAAGACGAAAAATGGAAAAAAACACCGACAATATTAAAATAAGCCGGAGAGGAAACCTCTGTTGAGAAACAGTGAGAACTATTTAACCTAGAACAAATCCAGACTGGGTCCAGAGGAAGATCAGCTGACCAGGTACCCTCTTATACCTTAGTTCCATCCACCATAGTCAAGTTTACAATGATCTGTCTGATAGTAAGGCTATTTACTTCCCTTGACGGTGGCAGAGGGAACTTGGCAGAGGCTTAAGCCACACAGATCCTCTTTAGATGGATTTGGGCTCCCCTATAGCTATCTACCCATCGAGTGTTCACAATTTAAGTTCTGGTACCTTTCCTTCCATTGGATTTGGATTTTTTATTTTTTGTTGTTGCCATCTTTGGATCACACAAGCTGGTGTGCTTCTTCCGTGTGGACTTTGTTGATGCCTCCCTTAGATGGCTGTTTGCTTTGAATACAAGCCTTTAAGACCCCAGGCACTATTCTGCTTGATGGTCGAGCACCATCTGCTTTCTTCACCTCACTTTGCTGCAGCTCCCGTATCTTCAGTGATCTCTTCATGAAGGCGAGTATCGAGCAAAGTCCTAAGAACTAACTGTTCTTGGATTGGAGCTGGAACGAAGTGGGAGCCCAGAATGCATTCACTTGTCCATGGAATACGTACAACTCTGGTTTACTTTAGTGCTCTCATTATCATTTTATAATAAGCAACATTGCCAATCATCCCCCTGGGACATAAGGCAATTCCATGGACCTCATCAATAATTTATCCAATGGCATTGAATTGAAGAATTTGAGAAAAGGAGGTTATGCAAGTATAGCCTTGCTGCAAACTGCAACTTGTGAGTTGTTGTTTGAGACTAACTCTTTATGGGAGTAAAAAGCCTCATCTTTCGTCCTTGGAGCAGCTGGTGGTTTTGAATTGTTGACCTTGTGGTTTGTAGCCTAATGCATAACCCACTAGGCCACCAGGGTTCCTGCTGCTACTATTAGATATATATAATGTGAATACATGACTACTGTAGTTGGAGAAAGAGGGAACGTGGACGATGTCCAACGTTTTCATGTGGCGACAATGAAAACTAGGATTGGAACATGTCTGCAGGAGTTTGGTTTAGGCCCAGGGGAAATCCATCTAAGGTCACCATGCTACAGAATTGACTAGATAGCCGTGAGTCTGGTTGTGTGGTTCATGTGGGGGTTGCTGAGCTATAGGAAATTCCTATCGACCCTATCCAGGGTTTCTGAGACTGGAAGTCTTTATGAGAGCAGACAGCCTCATCTTTTTAAGCAAGGCAGCTGGTGGGCTTGAAGGACCAGCATGTCCGGTTAGGGTCCAAGCACCTAACCTACAGGGCCACCAAGGCCAATAAACACTTCACTTGCTTGGGATGGGAATGGGAACTGCTGTCCCCTATCCTTGAAGGTCCTGGGTTTCCCTCCCTAACCCACTCTGCTCACCCACGGTTCCTCTCTCTGAAAACCTAGAGTAGTTGTTTCAGGGCAAATGTCGTTAATGTTGTATGTGTCAAGACTGGGATTACAGTGTGCGAGGGTTTAGATCAGTGCCTCTCAACCTGTGGGTCGTGACCCCTTTGGGGTTTGAACAACCCTTTCACAGGGGTCACCCGATTCATAACAGTAGCAAAATTACAGTTATTAAGGAGCAACAAAAATAATTTTATGGTTGGGGGTCACCACAACAGGAGGAACTGTATTAAAGGGGC